AGGAGGCAGCATCCTTAAATGAATGCCGACAGCGGAGGCAACATAACCCGAATACCTTTTTTGAGCAATCCTGGTTCCCAGTGAAAAGGCCATCGTCTTAGTCAAGTCCTCCTGAAGTCTATTTTCAGACGCCGACAGTGCCCGGTGCCAGGCAGTTAGGGCAGCTCCGAAAAGCATGTGCTCTGGCAAAGCAGCCCTGGAATGGAGAGAGTCCCATCTGGAATCAGCTCTGCCCCCGGAACACCTGGCTCCCGGCCACCTCGAGTGTGGAGATAGGGCGCATCAGCTAACGAGAAGCCAAGGTTCATACTCCGGACTTGTCCACAAGATGAGAAAGATCCTTTCGCCCAGGTTAATAAATGCTGTCCCAAAGTACTTGGGAATCGTAAGAATTCTGGATTTGCACCAAATTTTCACACCAGATCGTCTGACAACCAGATCGTAGCTCCTCCCCAGCTAAAGCAATCCATCATCTATCGTTCTGAGTCCAGAACTCAGTCCCAACTGACCGCACAGGGCTGACACCGAAATCACAACTTTTGGGGGTGTGAGATTGTAATTGCACAGCTTCTCTTAAGAAAACGAAAAGCAAAACCTCCAAGGTTTTCAGGAGAGAGTAGCCAAAAGAGAGAGGAGGGGCTGTCTAAGAACCCCTATACCTTATTTCTCTCTTTTTCAAAATGTATTCCCCGGGGGTACACGGCTCCTTTAGGTTTTGTTAGTCATGAGCCACAACCAAATCCATTTCCTATTGCTCTTACAGCTCAACTAGATCCTTAAAAAATAAACAAAACAAAAACCCACCTATATTATAACCAAGAAAACAAAACAAAACAAAAAACAACAACAAGCAAATAAAACACAGTATTCTAAATAGTCCAGCTTATAAGTACAGGTTTCTGACCCTGCAATAACTAGCTCATTTACACTCATGGACCCCTTTCCACATTCTTTCTTCCCAACGTGTGACGTTCGGCTGTTATCTTGTCTTACTGTTACTCAGAGATTTTCTAATCTATTACCCTGGCCTGTTCCTAGACAAGCACATTCTTTATTCAAACCCCAACATTTTCAATGATTCCTGCCACCGGGGTTCTACTCAGTTACAGTATCTGCTCTGAAAGCTAAGTTTCATCTTGTCCTCATTCCACATAGAAGCTTCTGGCTCTTTTATGATGCACAGTGACAGCTCCTTCCCTACTTACCCCAACCCTATCTCCAAGGCTCTTCAAGGAAATGGACACACATGTCTGTGCACTTACTATAAAAAGATGTGAAATATCCAGGCAGAAAAAAACTTTAACTTTTAAGAAGAGGTTTTCATAAGCAGCCTCCGATAGGCAGGGCCCTCTGGGTTTGCAGGGAAGCACTTTGGCCTCCCTGCACCGATACCCCGCCTTCTATTTGAGGAACGTGGCGTTATGCAGGCCCTGGCTGAGTAACCTTTCCTCATGAATGGTGAGGGAGTTTTGTGTGTCCTCTTCCCCTTCTGATGTTCTGCACAGAGCCAGATGCCCCGCTTTGCTCCATGTCCTGAGCAGGGCTGCTCCCGCGGCTCGGTTGCTGGCTCTGCTCTCTGACCGTCTTCTCCCCCCAGCCAGAGTCTTCGTGCTGCTTCTTTTGACTCCATGGCTCCTCTGCCCTGCTGCACCATGGGAAGTTAAAGCCTTTGGAAGGAAGAGCTCATTTCTTGACTAAGGTTTTAATGAAAATACATCTCCCTAGGGCAGGAATACAGATACCATGGTACATTCTCTGTAACATTAAATACACATTCCGAAACTCACACGCATAGTCACTGCCATGTATGCTTTGATTCAACCCTCAAATCAATGAAGGGGCAATCTCCAAAAATAGCAGAACACGAAGGATGCTAACACCATGCTCCTATCTCCAAAGACCAGGGTTATATTATAATTTTCCACTGTTAGTGGTCTGCCCAATAAAATCGAGACACTTTTATTTTATTTATTTATTTATTTTTGGTACGTGCCCTTAGCGGGAACTGAACCCGGGACTCTCTGGTCCGCAGGCCGATGCTCCAACTGCTGAGCCAAACCGGCCAGGGCAGAGACACTTTTAATATGTTTTGGTGTCAAACGCAAAACAAAACTACTAGTTTTTCTCTTTGGTCCCTATACCTTTTCTAGTAGATAAACATTAGCCCGGCCTCAGCTTCTCCCTTACACCCAGGTTCTGTTTCTACCCCGTGTTGTCTCATGATCTGTTCCTCTTCTCAAGACCGGCTACTGAGCTTTTAGTCTGTCTGGGGCTCTGTTAGAAAACCAGCATGATCTTTTCTCTTCGCCAGCAGAACCCTCATTGGGCTACGTGGGGAGTAGATCTCAAATCAGTTTTTCATCCGCCTAATCCCATCTGCTTTGTATCCTTCAGAAGTTCTTCAAACTGTCTTGTCCACCACCCACATGTTCCTGGTCCTCCAGGGATTCTGTGGGCTCATTCTTATTTTTACATCTTTCCTGTCATTTCAGTGAGATTTTGAAAGTGAGAGACCATAACCTTTCCTTAACAAACAATTTAGAAGCAAACACTCTTATCTATATTTTCTATTTTTTTTAGACCAAATAATATTTTTATAACAAATGTAAGAAGTATTTGGAAAGTAAGTTAATATTTCTAATACTATGGTTTGGCACTCCAACCTAATGATTCACCCTGAAGTCTGTTATTTTCTGGAATGATAGATATCTGGAGAAAAACAGTAAAAATGCCTTGGTCCTTGACCAAGTAAGTTTTCCTTGTATTAAGTTAAAAATGAGAAGGGTCCAGGCAAGTCTCAGCTCATAAACTGCCATTCTGTACAACTCTCTAGATATTTTAATGCAAACTAAAACATAAATAGTCTGAAGGATGGCTATATCTCTAGGCCCAAGGGCAGTTTATGCCTGGACAAATATGAATATTACTTTATTTGTATGCTGATTTCTTTGCCTTACATCACAATCTGGTAATTAAAAAGTTGTTTATTAACTCACGGTCTTCACCTATATATTTGCAACAAGTAAAAATTTGGTTCCCAAGTATAATTCAATTGATAAATGCACTGCTTGCACAGGCAGAAATATATAAATTAATTGAAAAAATATAACTGTAAATTAATTGAAGGAGTGGCTCCCAACAGAAAGCCACAAGAAGTGCATGACAGAAGTTCAATATCATTGTTCTTTGTATCTAGATGCCAGTGGCATGCATATGAAAGGAGGGGAAAAACATATTGAATACATCTGCACACTTAATATGCGTATGGTGACAGTTCAAAGGACTTGTCACCATTGACAACTGTCTCCTAAGCTGCAAGCTTTACTACTACACAGAGGTAGGTCCTACCACCATTGCCAAGGCTCACTCTGCTTCGTAGACCCTCTTGCATTCAGCTTTGTGCACATTTTGACACCTATGCTATTCAGAAAAGTTGGACTACAGCTTAGTTCTTAAAATAATTAAATGATAAACCTCCCTTATTTGTGACCCTGAAATACTAGTTCATGTTTCAATGATTTTAAGCAAGTAAGAAGGTAAATAAGGTTTTGGGAGTAGTATCTATTGTAATATTCTTTAAAAAGGAAGTTTATGGATTGTAGAATTAAATCATGAAGTAGAATTTGAAGAGAGGATGAAAATAAAAAGTACTAGATAAGTACATGGAAACAGGTATTTTTGCTAGAATTAAACTAGAAAAACTAACACCATAAATCTACCATTCCGATCAAGATAACCTCCCACGAGTATATCATACTCATTCACATTATCATTCTTTTATTCATAGTGTACTGCAAAATATAACATGCTTATCTCCTACCATCTTTCTAAATTCTATTATGATGATCAATCAAAAGATGCCTCTATAACTATTTAATAACTTATGAAAAAAGGAAAATTAGGGCCTCGCCTCAGACATCCAAAAATACTAGATATACTAATAAGTGTAAAAATTAACATGTAATAAGAAAAAAATATATGCAAATATTTGAAAACAGAATAAGGTCTCTAAGTATAATACCAATGGAAGAAATTATAAAAAAATGATCACTAGACTTCATTAAAACAAACTTTCATACATTAAATATAACTATTGAACCACCTGAAATGACAACAATAAAATGAATTTCTGCACAAGAAACTGTATAGAAAGACACTTTTTATAGCTCTCTTCTCCAAATACTTGAGAACACCTGAGGGCCATTTTCTCCAGCTCAACATAAATATTAGTTGAACGACCATGTCTCCAAAAAAGATTTTCTGCAGGTTTTAGGGTTACCGCTTGTTTTCACTGCTTAATTCTAATCCCTCTTGTTAGGTATTTTAAATGCATGACCTTCATTAATTCAGTCAACAAATGCTTTTACTGCACCCAAACCATATTTCAGAGACTAAGTGCTGGATACTAAGAACATATTAATGTGCAAAACAGATATGATATGGTCCCTCCTATCGCAGAATTTAGGCCTAAAAGAAGATAAACATTAATCAAGTAATCACACAAATTGTGGTTAAAACAAACAAACAAAATGTATAGAGCACTATGATAGTATGTGAACAGGACTTTACCTATTGGGGTCATACGGTGTGTACATGTCCAATAATATATCCCTAAAGTATCCGTATTTATATAAAACAGTAAGATCTTATAATTGCAGAGGCTGTCTTAAATATTTTTGTACCATTCTGCATCTCAGACAGCAAGTCTTCTGTATTTGTTAAATAATTTATTCCCATTAGAATTTCAGGTTATCCTTATTAACTGGCCTTCTTTTTTCATGAAGTCAGCTTTAGGATGATCAAGACATTAGGACAGAAACTTTAAGAAGATAGGCACTTTTATTTTCCTAAGATTGAACAACTTAAATCTTACCTAGGTTATAAGGTGATTTCATGATCAATATTGTCAGATTTAATGTAGAACACATAAAAAAAAAATCAAAGAAATGACATTCATATTTCTTAAAAAGAACTATTCACATTATTTATGGACTAAAAGAATTATTTCACTAACAGTACATATAGGTTATAAAAAGTTAAATGTTTTTAAAAAACACATTTTTACACTGTATATCCTGGAAGTTTGTTTATTACTAATTCGCAAATATCTTTGCATTGCTTGGAAATATTTAGTGAACCAATTTCATCGCTGTCTTCTTCCAAGTGATCTGGTTTACTGCATTCTGACAAATTAGACGGAAGGTAAGAGCTCACTTGAGATGTCCGAATTGACAGGCTTTTTTCTAAAGACTTGCAATCACTTCTTGGTTTAGGTTTAGTAGAGAAGTCCTGAACACTCTTTGTAACTTTAGAATTATGCATACTATTTTGGTTTATCTGGTTTTCTTTTTCCTCAGTCCAATATGAAGATATATCACTAGTAGAGATAATAGATGCTTCCTCCAAACTTTTATCTTGAGTCTTTGAAATATGAAATCTTTTACATGAGTGTACCGGTGATCCAGCTGAAAACGGTGGGCTAAGAAGAAAACTCTTTTCACTGCTGTTTTTCTTTATGGACAGTCTTGTTTCACTAGACTTACTTGTATGTTGATCATGTTTTGGATATTCTGCTCCTGGACTTCTATCATGAGCCTGTAAAATTCTGCTGGTATCTTCAGTACTATAGAAATCTTCAGAATAGCAAGGGCTGGTGAAGTCACCTGAATATTTTAGTTCTGAGATGCTTTCAGAACAACTATTTTTACTTGGTTTACTTTCACTCCCATTAGCAGTAAGAATGCCATTACCAGTGGTTTTGTCATCTACATCTTTATCTATTACAATTTTGTCAACAACTGCAACCTGTTGGAAAATGAACGGACTTTGGACTTTCATTCCCACCTCTCCTTCCAAAATATTTGTATGAGCAAACCTTTCTGGAACAATGGAATTTGCAGGACTCACAATTTCTTCCAATAATTCCCTATTGGTTCTATTTTCACCATAGTCAACTGTCTTTTCAGTTGCACATTTCAGTTTCATTTCTTTAGTTGTCCTGGGGTCATCAAAAACTCCACTAATCAGCTTGGAAGAATCACAATTTTCAGCAAAAGATGTATCTGATTCTAAACACTTATGTGGCTTCTGATGTTGTTCTGCAAAGCTTAATACTTGAACTTTGGACGATGGAATTCTGAGTTTTGCACCTAACATTTGTGCTTGCATCTTTCTATACTGTTCTCTCTTTTCATGTACTACCAACATACCAGGATTTGTTTGCTTTAAACGTAGTTTAAGTGTATTTGTTAAGCCATAGAGTAGCTTACCCCTTGGAACTCTTTTCTGGGGGGCACCACTGTCCTTTTCAAAATATTTACCTTTCTTAAGATTTTCAACTTGGTTCTTTTTAAATTGAATACTCACTGACTTTTCCTTTTCCCCTATAGAAAGCTTATCTTTCATTGATTCAGATTTACCTCTGGATTTGGCAGAAGATTCTGGTGACTTATCCTCAGTTCTATATAACCAGGCTAAGTGAGGATGTACATGAGCAGGGCTTGCCACGGGTTGGTTGTATAACAAGGACAACTCAACCAACAAAGCATTTAATAAAGGCAACTGCCTTATTGTATTAATTGTATTTTGTTCAGTTTGAGGGTGACATGCACTTTGATTACTTGCACCTACATTCTGAACATGTGGAGTAAGCACTGCAGGACTATCATGTGCCTCAGAATTTGTATGTTTTGGAAGATTAATACATGTTGGGGGATTTACAAGTTTTTCTTCTGTAAAAATACCATCCAATTGCTCAGGCACATTCACTTGAGGCTTAATGGTGATTTTACCCTGGAGAGGAGGCCTTTTTTCTTGGGTTATATGAGTGTAATACAGAGGTGGAGGGCAAAATGTGTTCGTTTCAATATCCAACTCTACGACTTCCTCATCTGGGCAGCTAACACTATCCACACGGCTAGCATTTGAACAAACGGAGTCGGTTTTGCCATTCTCCACAGAACCCGTGGTACTAGAGTTGGCCTTACTGTGGAAAACTACTTCCTTCAAACCCTTTTGTGCCTTCGGGTTTTTTAAACTCTCCAGAGGCCTACCAGCAGCTCCAAGGCTTGGGTCTGAGTCTGGCTGCTGTAGCTGCTTTTCCTGCTGGGCTTGGGAACCGACCTCCATGGCCTTCCGCACCATCCCACCCTCCACTCCACCTCCGGTGGAAGTGACAGGCAGCTCCACGTGGCCCAGCAAGCTGCTCCCCAGGTCAGTCAGGCGGTAGCCCAGCGAAATGTCCCCAATCCGCTCCCCGACATGGTTATGCAGAGGGAAACTTCCTCGATGGCCGTGGGAGCAGCCGGAGGCGGCCGGCCCCAGGACCTTGCGGGCCGCGGCGGCCAGCGAGAGGCTGCAGGTCCCCAGGAGCTGCGGGGCAGGAGTCGGGCGTCCGGGAGGCAGCTGCAGCAGCAAGGTGTACAGCGGGGTGGCGAGCAGCCGGCGGCGCAGGGTGGCGGGGTGCAGGTGGAAGAGGCAGGACTTGCCGCGACCGAAGCTGAGCAGGCCGGGCCGGGGCTCCGGGGCGGGCGCGGCGGGGCCCCCGGGAGGGTAAACCAGCAGCGTGGGGAAGTCCAGCAGGCGGAAGGCCACCGCGGGGCACAGGGAGCGCGACGGCCGCGGCGGCGATGCCTCTTCCTCCTCCTCCTCCTCCCGCCCCTCCTCCTCCTCCACCTCGACTGCCGGCGGCGGCGGTCCGGCCTCCAGACGCACACAGTCAACAAGCAGCTCCAGCGAGAAGAGCCGCTCGGACAAGGGGGCCGCCATTGTTGTTGCCCCAGGAGACGCTGCCGCCCTAGCCGAGAACAGGACGGTGAAGCCTTTGCTCTCGCGAGAGCAGAGAGAAGCCAGCGCCTGCGCCTGCGCCTGCTCTCCCCTGAGACTGAGGGGCCACCGCCGGAGGTCTGTGCTGCGGCCGCGCTAGGAATTTTCACTGCTGAGTGTGTTTTGCCTTCCAGGCTTGTATTAACGCAATTGCTTGTGTTAATACCAAGGCTGTGAGTGGCAAAAAATTTCATTTTTTACTTTGGTCTTGTTTTTAGCACTGCAGATCCCATGCAATTTTGAGGTCAGGTCAAATCTATCTGAACAATATTAAAAGTAAATCAGGACTTTCATTGCAGACCCCAGGCTACAGAGAGCCAGTTCACTGTCTGCAGTAGGCCTTTTCTGGCTGCTGGTCAACTCAAAAGACATGACAGTTAAGAAGGAGCCTCTGTCCCGTAATTGCAGTAGCACTGACACCCACACACACACACTTCCAGCTGAGCAGTCACCGTGTATGAGAGTAATGTTAGTGATAGCATTCAACAAAACAAATACACACACATAAACATGGGGTGGGGTTGCAGATCTTACAGCACTACCCCTGATTTTCAAGGAGACAGACTCTTGACCTCAACGAAGTAGTCAACTAGGGTGAAACCAAGGCTGATACAGTGGAGAAAGCCTTGACTGCCATAGTAAGGAGTCTGGACTTTATTCTATATAAGTTCTTTTGAGTGAATAAGTGTGATCATATCAATGTTTGGAGATATAGCAGTACAAATACAAAGGATGGATTCTAATAAGAAAATGGGTAATCTATTGGGAGGCTTCTGCAGTGATCTAATAGATCATTGTGGACTGAGGTGGTCAGGGTCAATGGACATGGGGAAGTGACAGATAGAAGAGGCATTTGTGATAGCAGAATTTGGAATATGGTGGCTGAGAAAAGTTATGGGTGAAAACTTTGTTACTGCAAAAGAAAGAATTGAGACGTCAGTTTGTTTTTTAAAAATATGTTGTTACTGATTTTAGAGAGAGGAAGGGAAAGAGAGAGAAACATCGATCTACTGCCCCCTGCAGGATTGAACCTGCACCCTGGCATGTGCCCTGACTGGGATTTGAACCAGTGACCTCTTGGTGCATGGGATGATGCTCAGTCCATTGAGCCACACTGGCCAGGATTGATTTGATTTTTAAAAGACAGTCAAGAGAATGAAAAGAAAGCCCATACTTGGAGAAAATACTTTCAAAAGACATATCTGATCAAGAACTGTTACTCAAAATATACAAAGAACTTTTTTCTTTTTTCAGTACATGCCCCTAGCGGGAAGTGAACCCAGGACTCTCTGGCCTGCAGGCCAACACTCCAACCACTGAACCAAACCAGCCAGGGCTACAAAGAACTTTTGAAGTGCAACAATAAACCCAAAGAATAACAATACCAGAGCGAACCCTAACATAAACTGTGGGGTTTGAGTGAGGAAAACGTGTCATCTGGTGGGTGATGTTGATCATGGGGGAGATTGTAGGTGTGAAGTCAGGGGGTATATGAAAAATTTATATCTTTCACTAAATTTTGCAGTGAACCTAAAACTCTTCTAAAATATAAAGTCTATTTTTAAAAAAGAATATAACCAAAAGGCAGAAGATTTAATGAAAATAAAGAGCTAAAGGAAAATAAAGAGCTAAAGAGAAAAAAGGATATGGAAAAAAATACAGGAAATGCAATCTTAAAAAACAGAAATGTAAGAAGGCCAAGTTAAAGCCCTTTCCTCTTTACTGTAGCTACAAACCTCTTACAAATGTTTGTCTGGCATCGCAAGTCTGGAACTTTAGCTCTGAGAATTGCTTAGAGACAGACTAGCCCTTAGGTTCTCCCCTATTGTCTTCCAAAAGCTTGTATTTCAGGGTTCTAGATACACATTGTATTCCTGAAACTAGAAGATTTCAATGAGGAGAAGCAGGTTCTTGGAATTATTCATTCAGAACCTAAGACAAAGGCCTGGACAGAAACATGCCCTGCCCTAGGACCCTATTACAGGCTTCTGACATCTAAGCCAAACAGTTCCCTTTCTCCTGACTGGGTTAGATATGGACTTCACACAGTTTAAACACTGAAAACAACCAGAACTTGAATAATATTCACCTTGACCTCTGCTATTATTGGTAAAGATGACATGACTCCGTGTTTAAACGTGGAGCTCTTTTTCTGTTTCTAGTCTTTCATCTCCTTGTGTTTCTGAATTTCTGGATAGAGGAATCATAGCTTTTACATGATGCTGTCATGCCGCGAGGGACAGAAGTATGATCAGAACCATGATTACCATGTCCCATACCATAGCCATGAAATAGCTCTTGTAAATACATACAAATAATCGAAAGAAATCCTGTAGCTAGGTACTATTTCATTTCATTTTCAATGTGTATTTTAAACTTGCCAGGACTTGATATTGGAAATTCCTTCACTTAAGAAGGACAAAGAGAAAGACTGGAGGGTGGGAGACAACAGAGAAGATGGGGGTTGGGGGAGAACAAAGAAACTACTAGTTAGTAAAGGTAGAGTGGTCCAAACCCTACTCTGATGAATCTCTCGTCCAGAAAGGAATGGAAAAGAGAAATCAGACAGCAGCTTAAGGCCTTGAAAACATAGGTTTATTTATTTATTTTTATCCTCACCCGAGGACATTTTTTTTTTTTTTTTTTTGGTATTTTGTTCAGATAGGGAGGGAGGGGGAGAGAGAGAGAGAGAGAGAGAGAGAGAAGAGAGAGAGAGAGAAACATCGACGTGAAAGGGACACATCGAGTGGCTCTGCCACCCATACAACCCAACCAGGGCCTGGGACAAACTGCAACAGCGGTACGTAACCTTAGCGGGAACCAAACCCAGGTCTCTCTGGACTGCAGGCCAACGCTCTAACCGCTGAGCCAAACAGACCAGGGTGAAAACATAGGTTTATTAATAACCTAAATGGTATGAAAGTGGTTTAGTAAGGGTGATGTGACCATCATTGGCAAGTAGAAACGTGGATTACAATAATCAGCTTCTCCATTTCGTAACTGTGTAACCCTGGGCCAAGTTCATCACCCCTGGGAAGTTTCTTCCTAGAATATCTCATAGATTCTCAAGCTGCAGTGTGCATGTGAAAATGCAGATTCTTGGGCTCTGCTTCCAGAGATTTTGATTTATGGGGTCTGAAGCAGGGCCCAGACGTGCACAATTTAAGCAGCACCCGGATAATTCTGATGTAGAGAATCCCTTGACTGCTCTTGGAGAACCAGGCCCCTAGGTTCTGGCACATTGCAGACAGCTGTGTTAGTGTTTGTGAAGTTTGTAACAGAATGTTATTATCATCAAGCCCGTAGAATAGCAGAAAGATTTATGCGTTTATGTAATCTAGTTCCCTCTTTCACACTTCCCATGCGAAATGGAGGAAACGAAATGGTGACCTTTAGCAATGAAACAGTCCTGTCAGCTTGCTCCCAGGCCAAGTGATGTCAGCGTAGCGGCAACAACAGCTCAAGTACTCAAAAGACTTCAGAAGGCCTCTGGAATAGATTTTATAAGAAAACCCCTGGCCCTGGCTGGTGTGGTTCAGTGGTTAGAGTGTCAGCCCGAGCACCGAAGGGTCTCAGTTTCCTTTCCTGGTCAAGGCCACATACTTGAGTTGCAGGTTCAATCCTCGGTCCTGGTTGGGGCATGTGGGGGAGGCAACCAATTGATGTTTTTTCTTACATTGATATTTCTCTCTCTCTCTCTTCCTTTCTCTCCCTCCCACTCTATCTAAAAATAAATAAATAAAATAAAAATCAATGGAAAAATATCCTCAAGTGAGGATTCACACACACACACACACACGCACGCACACACACAGAACAACAAAAACCCCTGAATTGACTGAACCTTTCTGCCAAGACACCAGTACCCCTGCTCTGGTCCAGGAAGACGATCAGTTTTGTGGACAGGGCATCCGCCCGCCTTCAGTGATGGGGGAGGGCTGAGAGATGTAATTTAACTCATGCATTCTTCTCTCTCGTGCAAATAAACACTGGTAGCCTTCCAGTGATGGGGAATCCTTTTCCTGCCAAGGGCCATTTGAATATTTATAACATCATTTGCGGGCCATATAAAATTATTAACTTAAAAATTAGCTTGCTGTATTTGGTCAGGCTAATTTGGTGAAGCGTGTGATGTTAGCTGGTATTGATTTCTTGGGCCTTGCGTTCCCCACAAGACGATCTTGTCAGGACTAATGTACATAGCTTCTCCGTTTAATGGAAGTGGGTTCTAAACTGGGTTTATTTTAAATGACTCCGTATATAACTTAAACGCCTCCAAAAGAGAGCCCGCTGCTGTTTTCATGAGTAAGATATCTCTCTTTTGAAATCTGCAAAGTAAACCCGAAGTCTTGATAACTTCATCGACCAGACCAGCCCTTCAGAAGGCTCTGAGTGTCAGCTAGAGCTGGTGCCCCTGAGGGGTTCTCTAGGTAGCTCTGGTTTGTAGTGCCTTTTATGTGTGCACCCCTGCATTAGGTCCTCTACAAGGTTTTCTTTAGCTAATCATCACAGTAGCCCCGTGAAATTAGTGGGTGCTCATAATGAAACTAACTTGGAGAAGTTAAATAATGTATGTAAATATGAATTTACACAAGTAAGTGATGCAGCTAGCATTAAAATTCAGTACACACACACACACACACACACAACTTGTGTTTATCCCAATAAATTCCCTTAGCTTATCTATGCCCAAGGAGAATATGAATATATAGAAAGTGACAATATTCAATTCAAAAATGTATTTTGGGGTATAAAGGCACAGTTAAATAACGCCACAAGGAAGCTAAGAGATAAGTGCAGAGCGTGGTATGTTCATGAGGACTGACCCAGTTTAAACAGGTCAAGGGCATGGAGAAAGGGGAGGGAGGATAGGGTGCTGCTCCAAATTAAGAGTCTTAAGAGACATAACCACCAAGAGTCAGGCGTGGAGCTTCTTTAGATTC